CACATGGAAAGAACCATCAGAGGAACACCAAGTATGCCAACAACAACAACAACAACAATAACAACCCTCACGTCAGGCATCACGAGCTATCCGGGGAAAACTCAGCGTTCATCACCGGATGTCAGTTGGAACGCAGATCAAGACATGGAGTCACCAAGATCTAGTCCAAAAATTGGTTTCTATTTACATCCTTCACGTACCCAGAAGTGGTGCATTCGGAACGGGCCCCCCCGCCGTGGATGCTCGGTGACACCGCTGATTGCGACCGCCAACATCCAGCCACAATGGCCGTTGATTCTTCAGGTTAATCGATTCGCGGGGCATCGGCAGGCATGCACATATGTCAGACGCCATAGCATTTCACATGTGTCATTCATAGTTACATTCGAAGTGGTCGTGCCGAGATCTCAGCACTTCCGCGGCGTTTGGTTGCGTCAGTGCCACTGAGATTACCCTTTATCTCTATTCTGCGTAGCAAGGAACAGACGATAGCCTAGGCGAAACCATCAAGCTTAACAGATATCCCGACAGGGAGGTAGAGATGGACGGCGGCAACAACTGCAATGGGTCAGGGCAGATGCCACTTTAGCTTTGACGGGCGGCAGGACGGCTAGAAGTCTGGAGACATGACGCACGTCCGACTTCACCAGCATCTAGACTCGCTCGAGAAGTAATGTTACTTGGTGGTACAGATTGTGCGGATGCGCTACCGTAGCTTCGCCGAAAGGGAACAGGAACAGGCCACAGCCCTTGCCTTGGGCCATCCCATTCCATCGGCCAAGGGTGTCTGGGCCACTCGGTGATTATCATCCCGCGCGCATTGGCAGTGGGTCATCGTTACGAAGGCCTGTGGCGGCTCCACCAACCTGACGAGCGCATCTCATTCTGATGAGCTGGCCGCATATGGTCGGCTGCACCCTCAGCGTGGAGTTCTGACAGACATCAGACGAACATGCTGGGGTTCCTTACACAGATTTCCCCGAGCCGCTGTATGGGAGCTTGAAGACGGGCATGGCAGGGCACCTGCTGACACCTCACCTCGCTCTTTACATCTTGTATCGGTACCTATGCAGTTCCCCCTTCGCTTCGCATACCTGGCATGCCCATCCGCTGCCAGCAAAGCTTGCTAGCACGGCAGTGTGCGAGTTGTACTCCTTGATCCGAGAGCCTTGACAGCAGCCCGTCCAGCCGGCTGGTTGGCATTGGCGCCCTGCTCCAACATCCATGGCCATGCATACCCCTCTTTGAGTTCATCTCATGCCCTGGCAGCACAAAATGACGCGCCCCGTCTGGTCAAGCGATCCCCTCATGATCGTTCACAAGGTTACCATATCGGATCAAACGGACCAATTTGCGGATTGCCAAAGGATCTTGTGTTGCCACGGATATACGAACGGCCGTGGGTCCCGCTGCTGCACGGCAACCGGAACGTACGTCGCCAATATCGTGAAATGCTGCCCGTTCCAATGATGTCGCCTTTTACAAAGCGGTCAATGCGACATCCGCAAGCCCGCGGACACTTTTGATCACTGTGTGTCCGACGAAAGTCATCGTGCAATTGGGACGGCCACGACATACAAGTGACCCTGATCATTTCCGTTAGTTGCCGCGCGGCCCAATGAGTTACAATCAGTCTGTTCCCACATGGGCAAAAAATTCAGGTGGAACTCGACAGGCCTTTTCACGTTGATCTTGTGGGCAACTGTGGTCGGCAAATCACATTGAAATCAAATGTCAACTATTAGGCAATGGCGTGAAGCGGCCGAGGCATTTTTTCCCTTCTTTTCTGCCTTTGGGCAGGCAAGTCACTTTGCAAATGGCCACAGGGGCTTGAACCAGTCAGGCCATGATGACCTCGCTTTCGTTGATCATGCCCTTTATGAGCTTGCCACAGTCGTGGATTAAATAGAATCAAACAGCCTCTCGCGACATAGCGTGTTCCAGCCTTACTGAGCAGTTACCCCAGCTTCGACGTCATTCAGCCTAGTGCAACTCCAAACCTTGTTGACGAGGCTGAAATTCCACATGCCAGTACATCCAAGGTGGAGCGACCCGGCTCTCTGTCTAGATGCTTTTTGATGTTGTTCGGATACTAGTATCTTTGAAAGTGTCCCGGCACAACACGCTGCCGAATATCTGCAGCCACGCGGCTGCGGCACTAGTACGAGGCGGGCCCGACGATCTGTCATCCGATCACACCGTCAGCTACTTTGATGGCTTGAAAGCCTCCCCGGCGTTGCTCTTAGCGTCCAAGCAGTTAGTTAGTGGCAGATGAGGGGGAGAGAAAGGTCAAAGAGGCAGTCAAAGTATTGCACTAGGCGTTCAGCCAACGTCAAATTTGCCATGGTCAGCCACGGCAGCCGTCTGGCACCCGCTAGCCCAAGCGTTGAGGAGACTATTGAGCCTCTTGGCTGGACGACAAAGAGTCAAAGTTTCGTCCGACCTCAGCACAAACACGAGATGGTCTGCATTTCCTAGTCATATGGGTGCCATTTGACCCCACGAACGGCATGGCATTTCATTTCCCATGTCCCATACTATCGGGGGGCCTGAGGAGATTTAGCACCTCCGCCCCCGAACGCAAGGCTGCTCCCGGCCGTCGTCCCGAGATTTACCTTCGATAGTCTCGGGTCGAGTTAAGCTAATCCGGCTATCTTCTGCACCTTTGTATACATTGCAGTGGTGGTAATAGCAGTAGCAGTGATGTATGATCAGAGAGATGCTTCTCCGTTTCTTCGCCCTCGAAGGTGGCGTTGAAGTATCTCCTAGTTGACCGAACGGTTGGGAACAACAACCTAATGAAGACGCAACAATGTTTTGGCGTATTCCAACTATCATCGTAAACCCCATTGCGCCATTGGCAATAGTGTTGGATATTAGCCTAAGGAGAATTCTACCCGTCTTCAAGACTATCTTATTCACCCGAGCAATCACTCCGAGAACCCCCCCATGGGAAAACTCTCTCTTAGCCCCTTTTCTTTGTTTGTTTTCCCCGTATCCGTCCAGCCACACATCCACGAGGGGACCGCGATACGAGACAACGGGAAATCCCAGAAAAAGTCCCCGTAGTACCATGCCCCTTTCCCTTTCCAAGCTACACAAGTCTACCATAATGAACTCGCTTATCGAGTCCAAATAGACCGCGGCCATGCCGTGGCACGGATACCCGAAGAGGGCGCGTGTACGTGTGTGTCTGTATAGTTCGAGATGGTTGGGACGACAAGTACGCTTATTCGCACCCCCTCACCCGAGACGGACAAGAGACATCAAACTCTGTGATTAGTGGCATTCGAAGGCGGCGGTACTTTCCATCCCTTTCGATGACTCTGAAAGTGTCATTTCTTAAACCTAGAGGTGGCCTCTCCATGCAAGCACTTGGCTCTAGCCAATGGCTGGAACAGATAGGCACTTACGAGAGGGGAAGGGGAAGAAAAGACAAGGCGCTCAGCCTCTCCAGAAGGTCAGCTTTCACAGCTAAACACCGAGCCACAGATGGCAAACACCGAGCTACGAGTGCCGAGGCAGTAGCCATCCTCTCCACCTCTCTCATTCGTCATTCTGAGCGAGGCAATTCGCTGTTTTCTCGGAAGCGGGGGCGGGAAGAAATCTGCTGAACAGAAGATGAAAAAGTCGCTGATTGGGTCGACCCGGGTTCCAAGCTGGTTCGATGCGGGTACCCCTTCGCCGACGGCAGGGTGACAGCAGACAAGAGATCCGGACGGCAGAGTAGGTGGCATGAAGCGGGCATTTGGAGCCGATCGGCGTCGTCCCGAGTCAAGTCAGGGTTTCTACGCTCCTAAATCTTGATATCGGACCGGGAAGAAGGACGGGCTGGGTCTTTTAGGGGGTGTTCTTGGGTTTCAGACGGACGGAACGTGTATCTAGTCCTCTGGGTAGAGTGTGGAAAAGGGGGGAGGGGGGTTTTCCTGTTAATTCCACGAATGAGTTTTACATCCAGACGGCCCAGAACTACCGTCCGACTCGCGGGGCTCCTGGCGGAAAGTTACAGTGACGCGGGGACTGTTTTTCTTGATTACTATTCCCTGCGTATTTCTCTACCGTTACTCCCTGATACTCCAGTCGGATCGTGACAGCTCTCAGATGATACCATCGTCATTGTTATGCAGAATTTAGAAAAGAAAAGAAAAATTGGTATGGCGTAGCGTCTCGCGTCGTGGCAGTCTACGCGTAGGGTTTCGGTTTTTCCGTGTGATATCACAGTGCGCTCCTTGCGTCATCCCGCCAGAGCACGAATCGTGAGTTATCGTCGCATAGAAAAAAGCAGGCGAGTCAATCACTTTTATCTGGAGCCGTTTTTGTGCCGATGCTTTTGCAGAAGTCCTCTGGCTCTCCCTTTCCCAGCTGACACGTTTTACGGCGGTTTCCCAGTTTCAACCATCGTGAACTGCTAAAACATATCTGTCGCGCTATTCAACGGCGGCTGGGGAGGGAGCAGTGGCGAGATGGAAGAACGATGTACAATACCAAAGTGATACGTCGGTCTCACACAAACCTGGTAGACACTTCTCGCTCCGTCTTGTCATCTAACAAGAGACACAGCGACCAGCTCACTTGTGTGATGTGTGCATAGCAAACATGTCTTGAACATGATACAATTTCTCATCATGAATTCAAAAAGTACATACATTCTGGATATACGCACAGAAAACGCATTACATGTGTCGTCGGGCAAAGAGTGTCTGGGGAATAGGAGGCATTTCCCAAACATACACCCTTCTTCATTCTCCTTCCCGTGCGCCCAAGACATAGCAAGAACCTGAAGAACGCCGAATGAACCAAAAAGCACCCCCTAATCTGCCCTATAATATACGCGCAGCTTCCGCTTCCTCTGTAAAACACTCTGACTCCGGAACGAGCGACGAGACTTCTCAGTCCCGATAAGAACAACAACGATGCTGACGATTTGGGGAGCGTCGCAAACTAGCAATCACTTCCCAAGTTTTCTGTTTTGGCTACAAACGAACAACGAAGCTTCCGAATTACAAGCGACTTTCGATAGGGGGATAGGGTTCGGCTCCGGGCCATTGAGAATCAGGCCAGACGAGCCGGATGGCTTCCCAAATGTGACTGGATTCAGACAAATGTCAGTTACACGGCATGGTCAAAGAGCGGCTCCAGGGCCAAGGGCGAGCAGGCTGGAAAGCGTACAACGTGGCACCGCGTCGGGGTACACAGCACCATAAAGGGGGGGTGAGATGGGGGTGGAATAGAACCAACCCAGGAAAGTATAGAGGGCACAAAAGAAGGGAAATAAGGGAGGCTGGGTTGGCTTACCTGACATGAAGAATCTCCAGACCGTCCTTGACCTCCTGTGGGAGATCTTTTACGTCTTTCCGATTCTGCGCGGGAAGTAGCACCGTCTTGACACCCGCTCGGAGGGCGCCGATGAGCTTCTCCTTGATGCCTCCGACTGCAGTCACACGACCGCGCAAGGATATTTCACCCTGTGTCACGAAGGCGTTGTGTCAGTGCACGGCTTTTCAGGGGGTTCAGTCATTTGTAGGGGGGGCTTACGGTCATGGCCATGGTCGGCGGAACATTCTTTCCAGAAAACAGCGAAATGAGGGCGATCGCTTGCGCGATACCACTGCTGGGACCATCCTTGGGGATTGAGCCGGATGGGCAGTGGACGTGAATGCTACGTTCCTTCATGATATTGGTTGTAGGCTCCGCCGTCAGGCCCAGTTCATAGGCATGAGCCTTCACCCACGACAGAGCAACCTCGACGCTCTCTTTGAGGACGTCTCCCAGCTTACCGGTAAGTTGCACACTGCCGTTACCAGGCATGTCTGCAACCTCAATAAATAGGATACTACCGTTACCGCCTGAGCTGTACGCTACGAGGCCGGTCACGATACCTGGTCGGCTGGTCTTTTCGGCAATTTCTTCCTCGAATCTCTCGCTTCCGAGAATCTCTTCAATGTCGTCGACCGTCAGGTGCGACCTGTATGTCTCGAGCTGTCCCCCGTCCTTGGCTTCGGCGAACTCGACTGCCTTGGCACGGCAGACAGAGCCAATTTCGCGCTCCAGGTTGCGAACCCCTGACTCACGGGTGTATGACTCGATGATTTTTGACACCACTTCCTTGTCGAAGCTGACCTGATCTTCCGAGAGTCCGTTGACACGGATTTGTTTGGGGACAAGGTGCTGCATTGCAATATGCCGTTTTTCAAGCGTCGTGTAGCCTGGCAGATAGATGGTTTCCATTCGGTCCAGGAGAGGCGCTGGAATGGTGTTCAAATCATTAGCGGTGGCAATGAACAAGACCTTGCTCAGATCAATGGGCAGGCCGACGTAGTGATCGGTGAACGAGTTGTTCTGCTCAGGGTCAAGAACCTCCAGCATGGCTGCGGACGGATCACCATGGAAGTTGGACATGCCCAACTTGTCAATCTCATCCAACAGAAACACAGGGTTCGCTACCCCGACCTTCCTCAACCCCTGGACAATCAGTCCTGGCATAGCCGCCACATACGTCCGTCGATGACCACGGATCTCAGCTTCATCTCTAACGCCACCTAGCGAGATTCGATGGAACTTCCTACCCAGTGCTGTTGCTACAGATCTGGCCAAACTAGTTTTACCCACTCCAGGCGGACCGGCCAAGAGCATGATTGGTGATCTGTCCACCATTCGCTTCGACCGGAGAACCTCAAGCTTCGTGCTGGCCAGCTTCGCCCTCTCTTCCCGCTCTGCATCAGCCTTCTCCTCCTTTGGCTCGCTGTCATTGTCCTTATCGGACTTTGGCGGAACAGCCTCTTGCTCTGCCTTCTTGATTTGCTCCTCAACGTCGTCATTAATTGATTGCTTCAGCCTGAGAACAGCCAGATACTCGACAAGTCGCTTCTTGACCTTGTCCAGGCCGTAATGGTCTTCGTCAAGTTGCTTGCGGGCTCTCGCCAATGTGTCAGGTCCCAGCCTGTCATCCGTGGTCACAGTCCAAGGAATCTCGGCAAGGACGTCAAGCCATGTGCGCGTGACTTGGTATTCCTGGTTTCCAGGCATCATCTTCTTCAGCCTCCTCAATTCCCGGTCAGCCATCTTAGCAGCCTCGGGGGGCAATTGAGCCTTATCCAGTTTCTTCTTGAGCTCCTCCAACTCGTTGGGTTCCTGATCCTCATCCTGGTTGGGGCCCATGACGCCGTTAGGACCGGGTGGGAACATGGTGTTGGGCGGCAGCGTGACGCCATTGGGACCGACTCGGCGTGATGATCTGTCGTTGATCTTATCTAGAAATTGCACAGGCACGCTGGTGAACGTCGTGATTTTGAAGTTGTTCTTAATGCCCCCAACCTGACGGTCCAACAGCTCGATGACCTTGGCCAAGCGGACCTTGACGTCAAGTGCTGCCAGAACTTCCAGCTTCTCCTCGTACGAGGCCTCAACGATGTTGGCCATGAAATCGGCTAGATTTCCAGCGTCCTTTAACTCCTTCTTGTTGATGAACATTTCGAGTCTTCTGGTCAAGAGAGGAGACAGGCCGCCGGGGCTGTCTGGGCTTCTGGGGAGCAGGGCGGATATGCGGAGGATCGTAACGAGTTCTCGTGATCGAAGTTTGAGAAGGGAGAAAAGTTCCTGCATCTGGGCATCTGTTGATACTGTAGTGTAGATGTTAGCATGTGATAAGATGCAAGGCTTTGGGACGTCACTAACTTTCATCGTGGAAATACTTGACGTCGGCCTCAAAATGCGGCCTTTCTTGTGTAACCTTTTCCACGCGGATTCTTGCGACTCCCTCCACTCGCAGTGCGAATTCAGCGGTTCCCCTTCCCTCGATGCCGGTGATGCGGGCGGCGACACCATAGTTGAAAAGGTCGGATTTGCGAGCTGTGCCCGGATCGACGTCCTTAATGAGGGTCTCGTCTACCTGGTCGGCATCCTGAATGAGAAGCTGGCCATTGGTGCCGACGAACGGAGAGGAAACGGGAACGCAGGCAATGGGGACGGCGTCGATGCGTTCATTAGGCGCGGCAGATGCTGCGCGGGTGTAAACGTTCGCTAGAAGGGCGGGGATATCGGGGCGGGCGGCCGTGACGGAAATGCGCTGAGTGACGCCCGGCAAGAGGATCGTGCCGCGAGCGAGAGGGATGACGGGAAGAGATTTAGTTTGGGATCGCGCCATGTGGGATTCGGAAAACGGAGGTTAACCGTCGTGGTCTGATTGTGGTGATGGTTTATGGGCACCTTGTGGTAGTGACAAAGGTGAGGCGACGCAGAATGACTTAGAGACGTTGACACTTGATGATGTTAAAACGCTAGCAACCAAATGTACGTGTCGAATGCAATGGAAATGCGGATTGGAAGAAGAAGGAGAAAATGACGACTATGATGCAGCAATGTTTTTCGGGGTGGTGGAAGAGGAAATAGGGCGTTTCGATTTGATGGTGCTAGTAGGATTGATGTTAGAAGCACCAGTCTGGGGGAGCCGGAGAGGAGTGCTCCCCGGTCGCGGCAGAGCCATAGACAGACAGCGTGCGTCAGCGGGCCAGTCGCTCTGAAAGCCGGGGTGCGGGAGCCTCCACAGGTCAGCCGAGGCTAATCCAATTGTTGGTTGACGGAAAGCTGCCGCCACACCGGGGGCCCTTACCGAAGACGTGGGGAGAAGCTCGTGGAAGATTGCACGATTGGTAGGCGACATTTGGAAAACAGCACCTCAGGCGCGATATTCTTCGGCATAAAGAAATTTTTACATGATTTCAAGCCTAATGGTTTCCAAGGTTTGGTCTAATTGATTTAATGCGTTGTGTTGACAACCCTTCGACCGCTACCACTTCTTTGTTTTCAGTGGCTTATCGGATGACAGCCAGACATGAGACAATGAACTGTCTTCATTCTTAAGGGGCATAGTCAATGATACACTTGTGGTATCCAAGAGAGAAAGGAGAAAAAGGACCTAAACAAACTGGGTTCATTAACCCTTTCAAACTTGAATGAATCATCTGGTTCGCTCCCTACATTGTGCTTGTATTGATTGTCAGGGTCCTTTCTCATCAAAAGCAACTAACCTCCCAATGACCAGTCGATAAGCACGGACCACTTCCCGCTCATCTTACATAATCCGATACCCACACCACCTCAGTCATTCCTCCAGTCATTGCCCAGCAACAGTCCCAACGCGGGGCAGGCACATTCCGCGCCGTCTACTAGTACGTACTACGTAGTAGTAGTCAGCAGCGTGCCTGGTGGGCAAAAGCACATCAATTAAACCCCCGTCGCGTAAAGACGCGTCCCCATCAACCACCCTTTACGCATCTCGACAAAAATCCGCCCGTCCCCCTCCTAACGCCACCATCTACTTCACCATACTATCACAACCATAGATACAATGTGTAAGCTCGTCTCTATACCCATCTGTGCAGGTTGAGGGTGTTTTAGGTGAAAATTGCATAATGTTAACTAGCGACAGCTGCATACGGCGGGTACACGAAAACCGGATACGGTGCCCAGGGAGGCGACGACGCGGGCGGCTTCGTCTATGGCGGTTCACAGCAGAACAGCCAAGGCGGCGGCAAGGTATATATCCCTCATTCCCAGTTGTCATTCTGTGCCAAACTTATGATCGAGGAAACTAGGCATACAGCGAAGAATCACTTCGTCCCGTAACGATTAAGCAAATCATTGATGCAGAGGAGGCCTACCCTGGCAGCCCAGACTTCCGCATCGATGGTACCACAGTCACACAAGTTCGTCTCCCTATCTTCATTTATTCTTCCTTATTCCCTCGGCACTGAGAACCGTTCTCGTTCATTCAAAAACTCGCCGTTAACCCCACCTCAAACAGGTAACTTTCGTAGCCCAGATCCGCCAAATCTCTCCTCAACCAACAAACATCACCCTTAAACTCGACGATGGCACGGGCGTGATCGAGGCGAAGAAATGGGTCGATACTGATAAGAAGGATGATGACGCCTCCAACCTCGAGCTGGAGGGCTACGTCCGCGTCTGGGGTCGCCTCAAGTCCTTCAACGGCAAACGTCACGTCGGCGCCCACTTCATCCGACCCGTTTCCGACTTCAACGAGGTTAACTACCACCTTCTCGAGGCTACCTATGTCCACCTCTACTACACCAAGGGCCCGCTAAATGGCGGCGGCGGTGCTGGTGCGGGCGGTGGCGATGGCATGTTTGTTGACGGCAACGACGGATATGACGGTGCGGCACAGGGCGGCAATACCGGTGGTTCGGCACATGCAGGCAAGCTGAGGGGCTGCTCACCTGCTGCTCAGAAGATGTTCAACTTCATCAACAACGCACCCGGCGGAAACGAGGGTGTGCACATCAACCAAATCTCGAGCGGGGCTGGCTTGAGCATACGAGACGTGATGGGTGCGGCAGACGAGTTGCTTGGCCAGGGCCTGATTTACACCACCATCGATGACGAGACATGGGCTATTCTTGATTATTGATCTGTTAGTATACTAAAGAACTTGCTGCGGCAGTCAAGGACGTTGGCAAGACTCCAGCTTAGTGGAGAGTGGTCTGCTGCGCCGTCATCGCCGCGAAGGACGGAGTTACAGTGGAGGGCTGATATCCCATCGTGAGAAGAAAAGAGGGAAATATGGCGGGCACAAGAATCCGTCATTTCCCAGCTGTACGAATGAAATGAGTGAATTGGTCGGTGTTCTAATGAATGGCTACAGCTAGTTGGTAGATACAAAGCAAAGCGAGGAAGAAAAGAAGATGAGAAAGAAAGGAAAGAAGAAAAAAATTCTGGAAAACATCACATCATTGCCCACGGTTGGTAGAGAACAGTGAGCCAAAATCAGCGCTGAAGTTGAATTCGGGCGCGCCCCTCAGGGGAGGTTGAACACTTGAGCGTAGGTCAGTAGCAGACGCAGCCACAAGCCCGGGGAGGACCGAGAAGAGAACGAAGGTGAGGAAGCATTTCCCATGCTTTGAAAACCAAACACATAAGACATCATCACTTCACTTGTTCCAAATCAGGGGAAGGTGACTGACAAGCCTTGCACCACGCCATTTAAGGCCGTGCCGCCTCCTTCATCGCGGCATTGACTTGCATCTTGATGTTGCTAGAGACCACGGCAGAGTATACGCCCGCCTTGCGCGGAATCGGCTCGCGAACCATGATGAAGAGGCTCACGGGAGTGCTTCCGCGGGTCAGGCGGATCTCGCGTTTATACTCGAAGCCGAACTTGCGGTAGTAGACGTTGTTCGAGAGGGAGCTGGACTCGAGATAGACGGCGCGGTTTTCTGCGTCTGCCTACATTTTTTTTAAAAATTCATCTTGTCAGTCAAAAAACGTGTCTTGTGTGCAGATGAAGTTATTTTTATCCGCATGTAACCCCCTCCACACGTCATGGAACGAACAGAGAAAAGGTGACAGAACATACCCTCTCGATCATGTTGTTGAGCAACTTGCGCGCGTACCCTTTGCCTCGAGCACTAGGCTTAGTCCCTAGATAGACCAAATAGTAGCAGTCATTGTCCCTCTCGCCCATAACCTCGAGCTTAGTGTGGTGCAACAGGGGCACCATCTCGTCGTAATAACGATGCCTGCCTTCCGCGGTGAGCTGGTAATAAAGTCGCCACAAACCACTGCGGAGCAGGGTTAGCCAACCGTCGGCATCCTTTCCGGGCGGCATCCTATATGTATCCGTCTGATGTTAGCCTCAGGGTTGTCATGGGATTAGGACGCGGCTGGGCGGCTTCTAGTCGTCGCTTTGAACATGAGTTTCCACGATACCAAACTCCAAACTACGTGGTAAATGAACATGTGAAGTGATTACTCACCAAAGAGCAACAGCATCGTGGTCTGGACCGATGGTTGTGACGATGCCGTTGTAACAATGGGCGGCTGCAATGTAAGTCATGATATCTACATGCAGTTTCCACTTTTGCTCGGCCGAGTAGTTTGCCATATCATCGGCGTCGAGGAGATACTGGCTAAGATCATCAGCAGCAAAGGCATGGGCCAGCGAGAGGCCAGCCTCCTTGCACTCCGATATGCCAATGACACGCACGGTATCCTCCCATTTCGGGGGGACGAGAGAGCGTTTCAGCTCGACGAGGGTGACGCTTTTGCTTACGTGCTCCATGACGGGCTTCTTTTCAGAAAGCCTGTCTTGTTCACGAATCTGTTACGTTTAGTAACATTCGATGAAGACCTGTATTTATTTTTTCTTGAATTCACTCAAGTTAGACCTACTTAAATTCTGTATACTATCGCCCGTGTGTACTCTCGAGAGTTGTGTTCTCGAGACGGGCATAAACCTGGATGGGTGGCGAAGGCAATTGAGGCTTGTGCGAAGGTCAACCGACATCAATAATGATTTGACGGGTCAAATCCTTTGGATTGGATGTTGTGATTCGGGTTGTGGCAGATGGGTCGTTAGCGAGACGCTGGGAACGACGACGTCTTCACAATGTGCGATGAACGAAACGGTAAGGGACTGGTGAGCGACGGTGTCAAGCAGAACTTCAGGTGAAGATTGGAAGGGAAAAATGTTTGAGAGGTCTTAGAGAATAACTGGTAATCGATTGAAGTCGAATGAGTAGCAGTCTAGCAACAAAGCACAGCTCGTAGCTGTGTTCTTGTCCAGAGATCTGCCCCCAGAAACTTGGGGCCGTCAAGACGAGGAACTCTCAACGCAAAAAGGACGTTATCCTTGTCTTTGCCTAGGTGGGAAACCTAGATTTATGTTGATGAGATCCTATCCAAAGTGTGCGATGATAAGAAAGAGGAAGAGAATAGCGGAAGTTTAGATAACACAGGAGCGGAGAGGGATGAGGATTATGTATTCGGAGGGTGTCACTAACCCAAAAGTACAGGGGATGAGACGAAGGGAGAGTGAGACAACCATTTGGGACGACTTGGAAGGTAGAGGGCGTGATGGGTCAAGGAGGCGGGCGCGGGACCGGAGCTACGAATAGATGGGATTGGGGCAAGGATGCGGATTGTGGCGGCCGTGGGGAACGGTATGTTGAGAAACATCGAACAAGAGGATAGCACTGTTGACATACATCTATAGAACAGCCAGTGTCTGCATCGGGAAAATGACGGGGTATGCTGCTATCCTCTGTAGGAGAGAGGCCGAATCCGACGAGAACAGCTGACAGTTTACCAACGGCGCATTGATCCGAGAGGAGGGCAGGCCGCTTGCACCGACAATATGCGGGCAACATTGCCTTTGGTACCCGTCTTGGCTTGCCTCAACACTAGCTAAAACCATACTGATGGGTTTGATACTTTTCACATATAACATGATGAAAGGCACGAGGACAGTGCCATCCACGCTTGTGGGTGGTAGATAGACCGGGGGGACCTGGACACAAAGTCAGGAGCAGGACATTGGATGTATCGGAATCGAGCATGTGTTCGTGTGCCGCATCAACACTGGTGGTTGCCAATGAAGCCTGGCGTTGACGGGTATGCAAGCCTATCCGCGCCGTCTGTCCCTGTAGTGCAAAGGGATGACCGGCGGGCTGCTCAACGAAGTCTGACTCTGCCTTGGTGACGGGTTGATGCAGTGGAGGATGCGGGGGAAGTTGGGCCGGCCAGGCCCTTTCTCTGGGTCAGGTTCGCTAGGGATTGTCAGTCAGACGTCCTCTGTGCCCCGTATGTTGGATAAGCAACGCCGTAGTCTAGAAGGCTGTCCAATCGGCGCGGCTGCACATGCCAACTATGGCATAGCTCGCTGTAAAACCTCATGTGGCCAAGGAATTCCACAGCTCCGACATGACACCACGGCCCCCTCCGGGCGGTGTCCGGGCGCACAGCACCGTGTGCTCCGTACTCCGCTCTCCCTCTCAAGCTGTCAAATCGAATGATGACGCATTACTACATCTGTTCCAAAGAGCTTCCACTTAACATGGAGGGCTGCTGCTTCCAAGCGGTTGGCTTCTAGACGCTGAGAGGCTTTGTAGACTTCAGGGGTCGCGGAGAGGAATGCTGAAGCGAGGCTTTGCTGCATCAACAAGACATGTGGTGGGATAAGCAGCTTAGCTGCCTTACAGGTGGGTATTCATCCTCGGAGCTCGGGAACGGGGATGGCCTTGATTTTGACATGTTGGACAGGCATCATGTTTGTTGGTTTCGTAGGCGTGTTATGCAAGTGACACAGATCGATCTTGTCTCACTTTAAATGAAAGGAATGTTTGGGTTTTGAGTGGCGGACCAGGGCAGCAGGCTGTCGCTATGCTGTGTAAACACTTGAGTGGTTGGGCCAACGGTTTCCATAACTGGACTCGTCTCTTCAGTTCGATGCTTCTTCCAAGCCTCCTGCAACGTCATGTCAATCAGGTCACTGTAGTATTGGGGCTACTAAAGTCGTATTACTTGTCAATACTCCTGCAGGTGGCTCAACGATTGATAGTATATCTCGGGGCGCAACCACAACAGATCCACTACTGTGCTTCGTGTCGTGGCGGGTTCTGTATGGTGGCACAGAGTGCCTTGGCAGATGTGAAATTAGCTTACGACACAGATGAAGTGTCTGGCTGAGCTCCGAGGATAGGTGCTGTACTTCGGAAATTGGGCACCAGGGGTTTGTTGCAATTCACAAGCGGTTGTGTCATCTTCAAGGCCGATACCACCGAAAGGAAGCCGTGCCCATTTAATAGAGTGAACGTAAAGCAATTCTATGTTGTTGGGAAAGACTGAATAATATACCTGACAGCGGTGTCTAAGTAGTCGTGAGGTTGGTCACAAAATCATACCGTCTTTCCGTCAGGTTATTTACTAACCTAAAGAACCTCTGGCGACCTCCCTTCCCCAAAATGGAAAAGCAACATACAATGGCAAACTCCAGCAGTCTCATTGGCCGAATGGCCGCTTTTCTGTTCTTTTCATAATAGAATGGTTACCTCAGAATTGTGTACAATGTCTGTCCAACTCTTTGAACCTGGCACTTTCGTCATCACCAGGGTTTTCAGTTGAGTAAGTCTTGGGATAGCAGCTCAAAGAATTAAATGACGGTTGACTAGTTTAGTAAGAATGAGTTTGGTCTACTTCATTTTCTGCACTGTTCCGGGGTTGGTGAGGCCATATGACTTTGCTTAGTTTGTACTCAAGTTACTCGTGCTTACAATAGATGCAGTAATTTCTTCCATCTTCAATCAAAAATGAAATACGGCTGCTTAAGGCCACCCAGCATATCAGGCAACACAGAGAAGCTGGTCTCTGGAGAAATAACAGATGTGGTACTCGCAAACTCCAATTTTAACATAGCACAGTGACTCTTACTCTACTAGCTATTCTCAAGTCGTACAATAGCGACAGCAAGCGCCGCCTGCTAGAGGTGTCCTCCTATACCTCGATGCTAGTTATCTTCTATCTCTGGCTAGTAATCTCTTCTTCTTCATCTCTTTCACCTCCTCATTCTTCATCATCCAACATCCACCCATTTCTTTGACCACACATTCGTTCTTCATATCAACAGTCCGCATTCATATCATTCGTTTGAAGCCAGAAATCCAATAAGGACACGATGCCAACTCATGATAGTCATCCCCCAAGAGTCAGCCAAGCCCGAAAAAACACTGGCAGGGTGTCTTCCTCACCACTCCAACCTTTAATAACTGACGCCCTCGATCCCTTTCCTCTCTCTTTTTGGGATGGACTACCACCAAGAGACCAACAATCGGGGATCGTTCCCCGGTGGAATAGTACAACTACGCATATACAAGAACCACCAGGGTTGATGAACTTGCCGGGGCCCTAGGAGCCAGGTGACGTTCAGATTCGATCCCAACAATGGCCTCTCATCTCGAGCAATGCCGATGCTACGGGACAAAGAACCGCGGAGGTATTAGAAACCACAGAGGCAGCCGACAACGACGGCCGGGTGGTCGACCAACTTAAGCGTAGGGGAAGATTTACGATACAGCGCGGAGCGCAGACGCCCCCGACGCATAACCCTTGGCACCGGCGCCCTTTTGCCCCGCGAATACCATCACCTTTCCCAGAGACAATCAAGAAATTCCTTACCATGGCGCCTGTCGACCTGTTACCGTACAAGCTTAACATGCCAAATGTGCCTCTCACGCTCCCAGGGTGCAGAATTCCGTCGAAACTCTCCCTACAAGAAACCCCAACAGAGCAAATCGAGCTCGACATTAACGGGACAACACTTTATCGAGCGGAGGTTGTCTGTGACCTGCGCCGGCTCAAGGACAGCCTGGGGGACCAATTCTTTCCCGTGCAGTTGCGTTGGAAGAACGTTGATGCTCCTGCCGAGGAGGGCGTGGCCGGTTACCTCTGCTGGCTGTGCCAGAGCATGCGGCATCAGCACATGCGCGAGTACCACGCTTCAGAACCTCTATCCGATGTAGAAACCATACTCCGACATACTTTTCTGGGCCACACCGAGTACGACGTGCATGTCAAGGCGGCACACCTCGCCGATCGCATGCGCTGGGACGTGGCCGGAAAGATGTTCGCGTCTTTTCACTTGTGGCTGTCGACAAAGGCGGTAGCAGGCAAACTTCTGCGTGAAGCACTCCCCCCTGGGTTCACGGCTGAAACCTCGTTGGATTCCATGGTATGGGGAGAGTTTCCTCCCATCTTTGATTCATTTTGTTCTTCATCTCCCGAGGAGGAGAATAGCGGCCGATGACCGGTGACAGCGGGCCAAGACATGACCAGAAGTTAGGACAGCATTTTCAGTATCAAGATCATAGCGGTAATAGACTTCTCTTATTTTGAATCATGAGCAGATACTTGAGTGCTTGGAGTAGAGCGGTGACAACAGAAAGAGGACAGGCTCAAGTCACATTAGTTGGACATGATGAGTATCTGATAGCAGCGCGTTCGCATTCAAATTGCAGAGTGGCGGAGACAGACTGCAGACAATATCAACTGCCACTCGCTCGTAGCGTTCAATGCGATTAAATGCCATGTCAGCGCCTCAAATTGTGTCTTCATGTGATGTGTTGTATAAAGATGGAGGGGATATCTAGGTTATAAAATCTCAAAAATAAGTTGAAAAGCATCAAATGATACCGTCTCGTCGCCGCCGCCGCCCAGTCGATGATAACTCCGCATGTAATGCTGTCAAGCACTTGTCCTCCCCCTCCTCCCCCTCTCGCTGATTAAAGCCCCCCCAGCAAAGCTTTCTTGCCAAGAGTACTACATCCCTTGCCTGATCGCCCTAGGTCGTCGAGGCTCGAGACCCCACTTTACATGCGACGGATCTCCTGCTCGTTGGTGTACTTCTCCAAGCCGGAGTCAAGGTTCTGCCACCACTCGAAGAGCATGGACTGGCAAATGAGCTTGAACCAGGGGGTGAAGACAAGCTTGGGGTCCGCGAACTGCGTCTTGAGCTCGTCGGGGGTGACGTACTGGGTAGCCTGGACTTCGTTCTCGTTGATGTTGAGGTCGACATTGGCCTTGATGAAGAGAATATAATCGACTGTGTGCCACTGTCAGCGTCTAGTTCGCCCAATTTGAAGCACTACCCCCGCCTTTCTGTCTCTCTTTCACCGACAAGAGATGGGGTGCGTGTGTCACCGTATGGAAAGGGGAAACTACTCACTCTCGTGCTCTCCCCACTTGCCGTCGCTGGGAGCCTTGTAGTGGATTCTGGTCAAGAAGTGGAAGTCCTCAAAGGGGACCTGAGAGGGGTTGATGCCGAGCTCATGCTCCAGCTTCCTCTGGGCGGCACGCTTGACGCCGGCTACGGAGTCCTCAAGGTTGGAGCCAGTCTCGCCGGGGATGCCCAGGGGGTGCGAGCAGCAGGTGTTGGTCCACATGTCGGGGAAGGTAATCTTCTCCGAGGCGCGCTGCTGCAGGAGAAGGCGGTTGTTGGAGTCGAAGAGGAAGACGGAGAAGGCGCGGTGGAGGAGGCCCTTGTCGATGTTGGTCATCAAGTGACCTATTTCGTGCGTCCGTCAGCCTTAGTGTCTGAATGTTTGCGCTTTCTGGCGTAGAAAGCCAGTGGAAGCTCGTGTTGGAGCAGACGGGTTTTACTCACAGGCCTTCTTGCTCGCATTGCCAATGGGCTTGTCGTTCTCGTCAAGCACGATGCAGACCTCGTCCATGAGACGAATCTGCTCGGCATCGTGTCCCGAAAGGGCCTCGGTGCTGGTGTCGATGTCGGGGAAGAGACGGAGGATCGACTCAGCCGTAATGGCCTCGGTGTTGGTCGCGGTGGTGGACATGTTTGCTTACTGTCCAGTGCCGTATGCGCTTATGTGTGTGGGCGTGTGCGTGCAAAAAGGGGTCCCAGTTCAACCAAGGTAGGGAGGGTATCAACGATGGATAAGGAAGTAGGAGACGCAAGAAAGGATGCGCGGGAGCAGACGTCTGAGTAGATATAGAAGCAATCGGCCGGAGCTTTCCTCGTCCGAAAGTGCGAAAGTGCGAGAGTAAGAGTGAGAGTACAGACAGTAATATGTTGCGCGCAGAGCCAAATCCTAGCAGCAGCAAATACACAATGGGTTTTGACGATCGGATAATTCTCCAATAATGGCGGCGAAGCGAAAAAGGAGGGGTCTCTGCGTGTGTGTCCGCCTCTCTGTTCTTGCTCCGTTCCTGGCAGCCAGGCCAAAAAAAAAAGTTGCCCCTCATACCCTGACCCCTGTACAAACCAGTCGTTTCCCCCAATAAGTTATCTTTGCAGTGGACGGGAGAGATTCTCAGTTTGCGCTGCAGCATCCCTGTCGTTCTCCTCGGGCGCCCTCGCACTGGCCACTAAGCGGCCCCTGATGAGAGGTAGAAGCACAGAGCAACGAGGGGCGGAGAAGATGAAAAATGGGTGGAGTGGAGGGGCTCTACCGCTGTATTGATCACTGTCACCTGGCAAACCCCTGCAGGACCCAAGCCGCACCCGGACACTTTTTTGCAGCAATTCGGATACAAACCAACCACGGAAACTTCACACAAGGGGAACATGTTTCCGCCCTTCCAACAGCATCCGCTCGTGACCTGTCTTGCCTTTGATTATCCTTAAAGGCTACATTCCCCCCCTTCCGCAAGATAAATAACAAGACGAGACACGTGCTTGGGTTATGGAGGGAGAATTTCAAGCCTCTGACTTAATCTAACCACTTCTTCCAACAATTAGACTTTGGAAACAAACGCTTTGCCTGGTTTACATCCTTGACAGACGTCAGATGCCATCACGTCGAATCGGAGCCGAGTTTGGGAACGTTTCTCTCGCACCGGCCAAGCCCTTTGGGTGGCCGAACCGCAACCACGGACGTCCGTCATCATCTGAGCGGCCAGTGTCACAGAACTCGGAGCCCTTTTGCTGATGCCGTGCTGAGGACAACCGAGTTGGAAACATGCAGTAGCTGAGCCACATTTGTTTGACACCTTTGAGAATTCTCCCGCACCTTCGATGCTTCTAGCTAGATTCTTGCTCGCTTGCTTGCTTGCCGCTACATGCTCAACAACAATAACCATAAACAATGCTTCAGACGCTACGGATGCAACATAACATCATCGTCAGGCATTATTAGTAAAGACTCCACCACCAACTGCTCGCTCGTACATGCATGCGGCCTACATCTTACCCTGTAAGGCTTCCAAACATGGAGTCCTCCGATCGTATCCGTAAGCCCGCACCAATCTTGTATGTAACCAGATCGATTCCTACTGCCTATTCCGGGAAACAGGTTTCGTAAGTAGCCACCTTCCATCCAAGCCAAGCCGTTTCACTCGGCCTGGTTTCTCGTTTCCGCCTCCTTGGCCGCCTTGTCCCAGTCAGAAAAATATACAAAGGCATACTCGATGAACGACACCCTGTGTCACAAGTCAGTGAATCCCTCTTTCGTCTCATCATCGGCAACTCCAGGCCGTTTCAATCCAAGAGCACTTACAGCGCAAGTCCAACCGTGACACCGGTCCACAATCCCTTGAGCTTCCAGTCCAGAACGAAGGCAGTTGAGAATGAAATAGGCAGCGCGACGATGTAGTACACGGCCAAGTTGGCGTACCCACCAATCGCAGGGCGGCCGATACCGCGAAGGAGACCATGAGCGCCCACGGCAAGGCCGTCAAATACCTGCATTAGAGCGCAAAGCGGTAGTACGTCTGCTACGATGGCGATGACCTCGTCGTCATTGGTGAAAAGTCGCGGGAGGTGGAATCGCAAGCCGCCAAACATGACGAGGTTGAATAAGCCAATCGCCAGAGCTGCGGCGAATGCCTGCCCGACAGTTTTAGCCACTTTTTTCCCCAAAGAAGAGCAGACGGAAACAAAAACGAAAAATAAAACAAAGTTAAGACGGGGAGCGGGAGAGGGGCCGTCCAACTTACCACTCTGCCGGTAGTCTTTGCCGCATCCACCAACCCTGCACCAATGAGATTGGCAATTCGAGTCGAGGTTGCAATGCTAACTGGAAAAGGGATTTGGTACGTGATGGCCGTCAGGGTGAGGACGACACTTTGTGCCGCCAGGTATGACGGTCCAAAACGGCTCGAAAACAGTGTCAACACCTCAAAAGCCATGTATTCGGCCTCAATCATAATCATTCCCGGCAACGCCAGGCGAAGCATAGGGCCCCAGTTGGACAGGGCACGTTTACTGAACCCGCCCCAGCACTCGTACCCGTTGAAAAATCGCACGTAGAGGAAGAGCAATATCGGCAACAGATTCTGGGTGAAGACCACCGCGATGGGCGCCCCTATGAAACCCCAGCCCAACCGCCAAACCAGGAGCCAGTTGACAAAGATGTTGATAGGAGCCGCGATCAAGAGCACCCAGGTTGTCGCCTGAAACAGGCCCTGGGCCTGCACAAATCTCTTTCCACCTTCGAAGCAGACGAAGGCAGGCACTCCCAGGATCAAGACGCGCAAGTACATGCCTGCAAGGCGAGCGGACTCGGCCTCCGGGATGATGAGACTCAACACGGCGTCCGCATAGAACCACAAGACGGCCAGTGGGAGGAAGCACATGAGCAGGAAATACGTCATGCGCTGAAGCTGCAGGCCGACGAGGTGGCGGTGCCCTGAACCGTACGCCTGGGCGCAGAGGGTGTCGAGACTCGTGGCGAGGCCCTGGAAAGGTGCATAGCAGGTGATGGTGGAGGTCATGGTGGCCAAGCTCACGGCGCCAAGCTCCATCTTGCCAATGCGGCCGACGGCGAAGATGGCAACGACATTGACCGAGTACTGCAGCATAAAGGTGACGATTAGGGGCGCAGCGTACTGAATGATGGTCTTGGTCTCGCGTTGCCACGTCGTACGGAGCTGACCCGTTGCGACAGCGGCTTCCCACTGTTCATTGAGGTGTTCGTGGCCATCGGCATCTAGACCAGGCGCGGGGCTACCGGTCAACAAGGGTGTCGACTCCGTCGGACGGCGGACGATGATCTGTGGGGCCTCCTCATCGTGAGGCTCAAGAGGGACCTTGGTGCTAAAGAGGCGGCGATATGCTCGGCGGTAGAATGGTTCGTGGTCTGTTCGAGGATGTTTCGGTGGCAGCACGTGGTTGTCGCGGAGTAAACTCCGCTCGGCGTCGCGCGACTGCTTCTTCTCAACTCTGGACAAGACGGGCGGTTCCTCGTTGAGGGTCTGCGGGTTCATGACCGGTCGCGAGGTACCGAACGCAACACCGCTCGGGCGGCGGTAAAAGAGAGGACCCTCCTCCGACTCAGATTCTGAACCTGAGCCAACAGCGTTGTCGTTCTCGTCGACGTAGTCATCCTCTGAACACTCTGCCAGGTCTCTGGCCAGAAGCTCCTGCGCGGTTGGGGTTCCCGAGCGGAAGGAAGAGCTAAGTTGTGAGACAAAATCGCGGCTCGACGACGCCTTGATAGGGATGGAACGATCGTCACCCATGTTATTAGTGTCGAAGACTGGGCTTATGATAATGCTGAGAAACCCGCCGCCTTTTCCGCCCTTCAGAAGGACTTTATACTGACACCGACGTTCCTCCTCGAGGTGTTGACTTGAGATGGACCAGTATGGCGTAAATCCGGTTTCCCTTTCCCAGCCACAGATTCAATCTGATTCGGTGATTCGTATCTCAGATTTCCAGATGAGATGGCGATGTAGTCAAGTGTGGATGAGGGGTGCCGAGACCGGGGGGGCTGCTAACTTTCTCCCAAAAGGGTCAAGGGCTCTATGCGAGGATTCAATAGCACCCAACCTTTGGTCGTACCAGATGGCTGTTTTCTTCTTTCTCTTCGGGTGACAATGGCAAAGAAAAAGCAATGCCAAAGACTAGTAGAGAAGAAAAGGGGAAGAAAATATGCTGGGAGGAACAGTAAGAGGAGAAAATCAACGCGGCTACTTGCCCATGTTGGTCTGTTCCCGAGGCAGAGGCTGGGGGAAATAGGACCACCTTAAGACGCGAAGCAACAATAGATCGTGCAGGAAAGCAGCTCCCTTTTCCAGGGTAACGTCCCACACCCACTTCTGGGCACCCCCCACATTTGGGCACCCCATTTACACCAAAAACGCCGTTTTTCGAAATTCTATATTAAACTAAATACTTTACTTATTAAAGAGAATAAATATATGTTAAATAGATTAAGACTTAATTATAATACTTAAGTAGCTATATACTAGTATTATTAATAATAAGTATTATAAATTCAAGGTTTAATATTTATAATACTAATTTACCTAGCCTATATCTTAATATATAAAATAGGTAGAGATATTTAACTAATATGATTAGAATTTTTAAGTAAGATATAGTAGATTTATATATTCTTATACTTAGTAAAAAATTCTTTAAGCTTAGAATAATATTTTAAAATTTCCCTTAAGAAAAGTTTCTATTATAGAATTTTAACCCTTAATTATACTATATTTACTAAAGTAATACTTTTAAATCTCTTTTAGATATAATTATATACTTTTAATAAGTATAAATATTAATTTCCTAGATTTTTTAAATAAGTATATATGAGCGAAAATATATTTTTCTAATGTTAAGGAATACTAGTAAGTTACTAGTATCTACTAACATTTTAAAGCTTTTAGTTTTAAACTTCTATATTATAACTATTATTATATTTAAACCTTTATAAAAAATTAGATGGCTATAATTATACTTAACATAGTTTATATATATTTTCTTTTCTTAGTAAGTATAGTAGTTAGTTTAATATAGAATTTCGAAAAACGGCGTTTTTGGTGTAAATGGGGTGCCCAAATGTGGGGGGTGCCCAGAAGTGGGTGTGGGACGTTAGTTCATCCCCGGGGGCCCATCGCCCACAGTTATGGACAATGCGGGCTAGACTGCCGCCGCATTAGAGGGGTCTCTTTCGCCTTACCCACTCAGTTCCATATTGGTCACACCCAACACCAACTTCTCGCCTCTCTCTGTTTTGTCCATACTGAGCGCAGGAACTGGCGAGGTCAGCTACAGGGCGTCCAGTGGTTTTGCACCTGTGGCCCCCCACAACCTTCTGCCGCCGATCTCGCCAACTGGTCTTACTCACCAACCAATGATACAATAGGAATACTAATGACGGGATGCGCTCTTAGCGTTCAAGCCGCCATCTTTTCCAGCAGGTTTCACCGACCACATCTAATATGTAACCTGTCTCGTCCCGAAATACACAAAAACCTGTGTGCCATTGTCTCTTAACACAACCCACTCACCCCCCTTCGGAACGACGATGCACGCAAGAGGAGCCAGAGAGGGGCTAGATTCTTCTCCGCTACAGCGACCAGGACCCCAGAATCAAGAGGGCCAACGGCCCGACAGAGATATCGTATTGATCGTAGTTTTTATTTCCCACGCCAAAGTCACACACACACACACACACACATACTCTCTCTCTCTCCCTCCCTCACCGTTTGATGGCCGGTATCTCTCCACTGTCCAGTTCATCTAGCTCTCCCCGCCACCCATCCGATGCCTGCTGTTGTTTCCACTTCTGGCTGGCCGACCCTCCACCAGCCCATCACTAGCCTCCTGCCCGTTGCAACCCGCAAAACCGGCTGAGTGCGGCCCCCCGAGTGCTAGTACACACTGCGTAGTACACACCGTGTTGACCTTACCCCGATATGGAATGCCAGGACACGCTAGCGCACCTTCACCGATCAAGGGTCCCCTCCAAGCCTATCTATCCCGTCTCTTTCCCCCCCTCAATATCGCTTACAGGCAACATCCCACCATCGACATTGTGACGTGTATTACGTACAAGGAAGACGATAATCCATCGCGGGGTTCCATCATCATCTTGACACCGCCCCGTGAGTCAATCGATCCGTCCTCGTGAGTCGCAAGCCTTACTTGATCACTGTCTCCCGCCGTCGTGAGAATCGCACATTGTACACCTCTCAGAGTTTGGGGTTGCAGATCGCTGTAGATTGGGTAAGATTGCCCAATTCGCTGTTGGATGTAACAACGCTTGGGAGCAAATCAAATCCTCAACCTCACATCATCGCCAAAACTTGCTTCGTGACTGACTGGCTGTTTTCGTTACCTCTCTTCAAGAATGGGCCGTAAAAAGAACGCCGTGTCATTGCAGTATCGATCCGTCTATTCGTGGGATACCATCTGTCTGATGCCATTCCGCATGCCACTCGCAGATGTAGAATTACTATACAGTGTATCGTGTCCCAGCCCCAAGCCTGAACCTACGATCCCAAGACCCCCTTAAAACACTCATAACGCTCTATTTGTCCTCCTCCCAATTGGGGTTCTAATCCATGTTAGTATCGTAATCACCATATAGTACGAAGAATTCATGTTGACTCACCTTCTTGAGAATAACCAGTCCCTCTAGCGTGCTGTTCAAGCTGATGTACTGCTCGTCCTCAAGCTCAGCTCGCTCACCGTACGCCAGGACGACTGGTGTACTCTGTGTTTGCCAACCCGTAATCGTCTTGGGCCGACCCGCCTGGCCGACAACGTCTACCGCCTGACCAACACGGACGTTGACCTTGAGGGGCTTAAGGTCCTCGTCCAGCGTGACTAGGAAGCGAGGGTGCATCGCCGTTACCAGGAAGTAGAGCAGGTAGTGCGAGTTAGATGTGATGAACTGCTTTGCGTCGATCATGGCCACCAGCACCGACAACAGACCCGCCGCCGACACGCGCGACAGGACGTTGCGGTCAGTGTGGAAGGGGTTGACCGACATCGTACCCTTACCCATGTGCAGCAAGCCCTGCGCAATCCGCACCATGAAGAGGGACTCCTGGTCGCGGTGGTAGAAGCTGGCAAGCTGGCGGAGCAGCTGAGCCAGTCTGGCGTTGTTGGTACCCGCACCAAGCAGGCCCATCGCAAAAATGGCGTTGATAGCCACATCGTTGTCGTTGTCGTGACTGTATCTTGATAGCGTGTCGTAAACCTTCATTTGGGGGTTGCTAGGGCTAATGAGACCCATAGCCAAGGGGACTGCTCTCCTGATGTTAGGCTCGCCGTAATGCATGAGATGCCCAAACTGGCGCAGCACCATCTCCTGACCAACATCTTCGCCCATTGCTACAAGCGCAATACCAAGCACGGCGTAAGATTGGAGGAGCTCGTCACCCTTCTTCTCGTCCGAATCCTCAATGTGCTCATTGCAGATGTGCAGAAGCTCCTGAATCTTCAGGACGGCACCAGTACCAGCCCAAGCGCAGATCTCAGCCAGGACAGCGGTCGGCTTAGCCATTGGGTGGTCGACAGCCTTGAGGGTCTCCAGAATGACGTCAACCTCCTCTTGACGACCGAAAAAGAGCAGACCAAGACCAAGGGCAAGGAAGCGGGTCCACTTGTCAGTGAGCTGGTTCTTGCGCTCATCGTCCAGCAAGGTTGTGACGATTGCCTCGCTGACCTCGGGGTTGGAAGAGCCGACAAAGATGAGACCGCAGGACAGGGCGGCCATAGCGGAAATCTGCATATCCTGAGATGAATCAGTAATGATGGGCAAGAGAAGCTCCAGCAGCATCTCGTTGTTGGAGCCTGCGTATGAAAGACCCAAGCCCATGATGCTAGCAGTTCGGACAAGGGGGTTCTTGTGGTGCAGCTTGTCCTCATCACCCAGAAGAGCCAAGGCAGGCTCAGAGTCGACACGAGCTCCGGAGTTCATGATACCGATAGCAAGCATAGAACCGGCCAGGATCTCGGGCTCAGCAGCATAAGTGTACTTGTCAATCTTATCAAGGCCGGCTTCGACGTCCCACAACAGCAGAGTACCCAAAGAGGCCACAGTCGACATCATGCCGTCGCTCTTCGTCTTCCACACCCAGCTCTCCTTGTCCTGCTCAACGAGCATCATCTTGTCGTTTCCAAAGCCAGCGTTGACGAATGCGTTCACGAACGCAGCGGCCAAGTTGTGACGGGCAGAGTCGAGGTTGGTCATGCCAGCAACCCGACTGCTCTCCAGATGGCTCTTATAGATGTCTTCCGTCGTCTTTGGGTCGAGGATGTTAAGCTCCTTACCCAGCGACTTGAAATGGTCGGAAAGCTTGAGGTTTGACAGGCATTCCACGATGGCATTATCGCCATCCTCAGTGGGGACGTCCAGCACAATCCGTTGGCGCGCAACCAAGAAAGCAAGCTGCTTCTTGAGAGCGGGGTCACCGGCCTTCTCGAAGTCGTCCTTGATGAGGTCAATATCGTTCAGCCGGATGGCCAACGTCATCGCCTGAGTGTACTGCTTGTACTTCAGGTAAATGTCGTGTGCAGTCTTCAGGAAGAGTTCGTTGTCGGGGTAAGTCAACAGGTTGACCATGCTGACCATGTACAGACACACACGGCCGTAGGTGTTCTCGTCCAGGTAATTAGGGATCTGGTCGATAATCTCAAGCTCGCTCATCAGGTCCACAGCATCAGCCTCAGCATTGCTCTGAAGAAACAGTGGAATGAGAATCAAGGCGAGATCCACCAAGTCCTTGGTGGGCTCGTCGGCGTTTATCCTCTTTCCGTAGACCTCGCCAATCTCAAGGGCCAGATGCCGGACGTATTCATGACCCCAAGAACCAATATCGGATGACGGCGCAAGCAGGCGGTACTTGAGGGTGTCTTGTCGGTCTTCGTCCGAATACGTCATACCAATTACTGACAAGACGTCCGCCAGCGAGGTCTTGTTGTCTCCCTCCGGCCAGTCCTCGTACAGTTTTGTCATTGTCTCATAGTGTGGTCTAAGGAATTTGAGGGGTTTGGGAACGGCCGTCATTGAAGAGGTCGAAGTCTTGATGAAGTTCTTCATGGCCTCCAGGGCCGGCTTGTAGAGGGAGGCGTCGGATTCCTAGCTTGTTCATTAGCACTGTGCTCGATGTAGGGGAACTCGGCAAGCGTCACATACCGTCAGGCGCTCGACAAGCATGTCCAGCTCGTTCTTGAGTTGTTGGTCCTCTTCGCTGAGCTCCTCCGCGGCTGCAAACAGTTAGCCATATTGATATCCCAGAATAAGCCATTTAACTGCTCACAGTCGATAATCTTCTCATCTTCCTTCTTGCCGTTGACTTGAGACTTGTCCTTCTTGTTGTCCTCCACGGCTTTGCCCTTGCCCTTGTCGGCGGCGGTGGGCTTCTCGCTGTCCTGCGCCATCTTGACGTATTGATGTGGACTCTAAGCGGGCGGGATGCGTCCTCGGAATTTAGGTCAAGGGTGGACGCGGATAATGAAAGTTTCGTTGGGAGAGATTAGTCTGGTCGATGGTTACGGTCGGAAGAGAATGGAGGTTCGTGAATAGTTCGAATCGAGGGGGATGGAAGGTGGGAGAGAGCTTTGTAAAGCTAAGCAACAAGTCGAAGCTCCCCGGTTACGCGAGCCTTGCCGCCTGCAAACGGTGCACAGACCTTAGTCGATGAGCCTAGTGGCACGTGACTCCGGAGCATCCTACATCCCGGCTCCGGGACATTTTATCTTATCATTATCGATAAGACACATCCCACCAAACCTTGATGGTGGGCAGTTTGGAACTTTTCATGGTGGGGGCTAAACTTGGGCTCGAACTTGAGTTGAATTCGTCTTCGGCGCAAACGCATTCTCCGACGCAGGACGAACCCTCTAAATTTTGACTTATAAATTGCGACATCGACAATATGCATTTAGATACTAAGGCCCTTCGTCATCTGGCCTCTGAGGACTGGAAAGTCCTTGCAGCTGTGCGACTCCAACCCCTCCACCACCCCTCGCAGCCCACTTACATATACCCCAGGTTGAGCAAGGCAGCAAAAACCATGAGCTGGTCCCGACGCCCTTGATCGAGAAACTTTCCCGACTTCGAGGCGGCGCAAATGGCGTGCATAGATCAATTTCCGCTCTCGCCAAGGTTGGCCTTATCGCCCGCGTGAAGGAAGCCAAATACGATGGCTACCGCCTGTCATACGGAGGTCTCGACTACCTTGCCATGCACACGTACTCAACGCGTAAGGAGGTTTATAGTGTAGGAAGTCGAGTCGGTGTTGGAAAGGAGAGCGATATCATGATGGTCGCCGACGACAGAGGCAAGCAACTTATCCTCAAAATCCACAGATTGGGCCGCATTTCCTTCCGAACCGTCAAGTCCAACCGTGACTACCTCAAGAAGAACCAGTCTGGATCATGGATGTATCTCTCACGGCTGGCTGCCATGAAGGAGTTTGCATTCATGAAGGCGCTAAAAGAGGAAGGATTTCCTGTGCCGGATCCCATTGCTCAAAATCGGCACACCATCGTCATGTCGTTCATTGACTCCTACCCTCTCCGCCAAATCTCCTCAGTACCGGACCCAGCTACCTTATATGCTGAATTGATTGAGTTGATTCTTCGTCTGGCCAAACATGGACTGATTCATGGCGATTTTAACGAGTTCAATATCCTTATTAAGGAGGAGAGAGACACAACGACTGATCAATCCGAGGAGGATTCCATCAAGTTGGTCCCTATCATCATTGATTTCCCTCAAATGGTGTCCATGGACCATACGAATGCCGAAATGTACTTTGACCGTGACGTCAACTGTATCAAGCGCTTTTTTGAGAAAAGGTTCCACTTCACTAGCACAACTCCTGGGCCATTTTACAAGGATGCAAAGAAGACGGTCGGGAGAGGCGGCGCAACAAGACTCGATGCAACCGTGGAAGCGTCTGGCTTCACCAAGAAAATGGCCAAAGATCTCGAAAAGGCCATCCAGGAGCAGGCCTCGTCCAAGGGCGATGATGGAGAATTCGGCGGCGAGGATGATGAGTACGAATCGGAGGAGGAGGAAGAGGAAGAGGAAGAAGAAGGAGAAGTCGATGGGGAGGACAACGGGGAGAACTCGCTAACTGGCGGCGCAGACGGTGTTGAGAAAGTCGGCAAGGACGAAGAGATTGATACCCAAAAGTTTCAAAAGTTGACTGTAACGTAAGAGATGATCAACCGGCAAAATAAAATATTGCTTTCAGTTAAGACAGGCTATTTTTTTTTTATTTGGAAACAAAACTCTACATGGTCGGCGTAGCGTAACATAAGAGGGAATAAAACCCCTGAAAAGCGAAACTTCACTTCGTGCGGAACGACTAAGCATGTAATATATGAATACGGCAAAGGACATAGCTCCGTCCCGATTGATTTGCCTCCAAAAAGTCTAACGTACAAGAACTAGAGCTGGCCCATATGGGCTGAATGCAGCAAGTTTATCGCTACCTCAGAGCATAATATGTTCCCTGATCAAAACTGATACTGCCATGTGTTGCGGCATAGAATACCCGAGCTCTGCGCGACAAAACAATAATGTAACCCGAAAATGCGAATGCTCTTGACAATTCTTTACTTATCCTCCTTGTGCTCCTTCTTCTCCTTCCTCACCGCCGGAGAGGACTGAGTGCTAACAATAACAGGGGTAGTTGAGTCGGCGTGAATCGTCACACCCTCGTCGCTGTCGTCAGCCGCGCTGGCTGCGATGGGAACCTCCGCGGCCGATCTGCAGAAGCAAGTTAGTCAAGGAGAATGCTCCAATGGCGAGGGTGGTCACGGTACTGGGGTTTTCCCTGAACAGTGCTGCCCGCCTGGTAGCCCTCAGACTTGACCCCCTTGCCCATTCGATCAAAACCGCCGGTTAGAGATCGAGGTGCATAGACGCTGCCGAAGATCAGCGACTGTGCCCCTTGGTCAACCCAAGTGAAGGTACACTTACGTGTTGGCGGTGGCATGCAGAGCACGCTTCCAAGCGGGCTGGTTGTACATGTTGGGCTGAATGCCGACAAGAGGGGTACCGTACGCTCCGATGTTGTACTCATTTGTACGGAACTGACGGCGCTCGGCAGTGACACGCTTAAGCTCCTTCTGACCAGGAGTGTCAGCGTAACGAATGTTCATGACCATGCCCTCTTCGCCAATGGGGATGCCGTTGAATTGCTTGATGACAGCGTCGCAGACGTCTCTAGACTCGAAGCTTTTGATATCATCAGTATCAAAATCTCTTGGAGCTAGAGAAAAACACCTACCGAGCGAAGCCAACACCACGGCTGTTGCCCATGCTGTCACGGAGAATTTTTGAGGACATTATGTGATAGCCTCTGAAGATGTCGCCAAGGTCCTGAGAGGGTCAGTAGTGCCCACTGCCACCAAATGTATGATTGAAAAACTCACATTCTCAGTCAAACTCTTGGGAAGGTTGGAGATGTACAAGTTGGTGGATCCCTCGTCACCTTCAGCCTTAAGGCGAGAGTTGAAAGATTCCTGTAACGTGTCAGACACTGTTATTGCATTGACAACAAATTCGACTTACACGTGCAAAGCCCACCTCATATCCCAGACGGTGGAAGCCCCGGATGCACATTTCAGAGTCACGGACATCAAAGAATTTGGCAAAGCCGAAACTGCATATGTGTTAGTGAGGTGACGCTCGATGGTACAGGTTAGACTTACCCCTTGCAAGCACCGGTTGAGGTATCAATGATAGCCTTGGAAGTTTCAACCTCGCCAAAACGGGAGGCAAAGCGGTACAGAAGCTCATCATCGGTAGTAGGATGAAGACCACGGATGTAAACGTTACGATTGCCTGGGATGCGGTTTTCCAGGCTCTGGTCCAGCGTCTTCATTTGAGCGGCGGGGGTGAAGACAGCGGGAACCGCCTTGGGAATGGCAGGCTCTTGCTTCAGTATCTCCTCCAGGTTCCGGTCAACAGGAATGTTGATGACACTGTGCTTGGCAGCAGGTTCAATGAACATGTTGGCACCGACGATCTGCTGAGGAGATGGAGTCGTGTACGTGGAACGGTCCAAAGCGGCGACACGAGGACCCTTGTCGTTCTTGGATCCCCCATTGTAGAAAGGAGTGGTGGGGGCTGATTCAGTGGTCGTGTAAGAGCCACCACTGTGACGGCGATTCTCAAGACCAGGGACATCATTGTGGCTCCGATTGGTACGATCCTGAAGCGCCGCATTGCCGCTGACAGCACGACCTGGAGTGAAGGGCATCATGCCGTACGGTACGTAGGGGTTGAATTGTCCAGGAGCAGCCAAGTAACCTCCGGTGGCCGGACCATAGTGACCCTGAGAGAGCTGTTCCATGCCCATAGTGGTACCTGGCAGATGAGGGGCGAGGATATAATCCTGGGGCACCATGTACGTATGGGCACCCATCTGGCCCATGCCAGTGTGGTTATGACCCATACCGTGACCCAAAGACATGCCTTGGAATGAATTCATGGCACCGGTCAATGCGTCAACGTTGGCAACCATGCCGGGGAGATGGTTCTCAGGGTATTGAGTGTGAGCCCCAGGAAGGGGATGATTGCCGGCTCCAGTGAAAGCAACGGAGTGCTTGGAGTCCATGGTATGAGTCTGATAAGACATAGTCATGTCCGAGTCCTAGAGACTTCGATGGTCAGCGAATGTAGCTTAGTAAATAGGGAGGAACAGCGACATAAACGGTAAACAGTAGTAAAATGGGGGCTGAAAGTCCCTAGTCGTTCGAGGACATTCAGGGGGGTGAGGGGTGTGGTGTTTTGATGTCATGACATACTTCGAACAGCGCTATAGGCTTTCTAGTAGCGGGTAGACGGGTAGATTAGGGACAATCTGCTAGTGAATTGGATCAGTAAAAACCATGTATCAGTTCAAGGAGTTGAGAGAGGCAGAGAGATGTGGCCGGAATGCCTATGCAGCCAAGCCTATTGAAAAGAGGCTGCGGTGTGGGAATTGGCTTGTAAAGGGAAATTGATGCTGAAGACGAACAATGGAATCCATATGACCATGAACAGAGGAACAAGCAATGATACATCATTGACTGAAAGACGACGAATTCCGGGGACTTTGGGGGTGGATGATGCTAAACTAACCTTTGTCGTCTGGAGATAAACCAGGGGCTTAGGACCAGGACAAGCTTGATCAACGCCCGCAATGACAAAATGTTGGTACCAAAGACTCTGTGGAAGAAGCGAGTGGTCAGTAAAAAGATGGAACAAGCTATCGGTGAGCAAACTGGCCAAAGAGACCGTGGGAGTATGGTTGGAAGAGTGGTGATGCTGTAGTCAAGAGAAGAAGTGAGGAGGAAGAGAGGCGGGTTGGAGGAGATGACAAAGACGACATTGATCGCTGGGGTCTCACCTAAGGATCCTTGCTTCCTTTTTCAACTGGCTCCGAGAATGAAAGAAGGAGGCTTGACTGATCCTGCTGGAAGTCAAGGCGTTGTAGTCTTTTGGTTAGGAAAGAGATGTGTCGTCGGGAGGAATGAGGGAGGTGACGATGTAAGCGGAGAAGGTGATTATGTACTAAAGGGGCCGGAGCGGGAGTGCTTTGCGGGGCCTGACTTCCAGAACCAATGCCGTGCCGAACTATCACTTGCCGTTAGCAACTTCCAATGATACTCTGACTTTCCCAAGTTGGCGAGAGCTTTGAACGGAGTTGACGGGCTTACTTGCCTTGATCAAAGTCACCAAATTCCTTCCAGTTTCTCGTATTCAAACTCTTCTATTTTCTAATAAACCCGACGTATTCTCGTGCTCTACTCTTGATTTGTGGTATGCTCTGACACACGTCTGAAAAGAGGAAAGATGCAAGTACGGTGAGTCCTTGCCTGGGAAATATCTCTGTAAGTCGCAAGGGGTGACACCAGAAACAAGAGCTTCAAGAACAAACACGACGAGCTGCACCTGCTTATGTGTCGCCAACGGTAATCGATGCTTGATAAATCAGCTTCACAGCCCTACTTGGATGTCAAACGCCAGCGGTTAGTATTCGCGGCAATGTACGCGGAGACAGCTGGCGAATCTTAGAGGAACAGGCTGTCCGAAGCGTCAGAAGCGAGAGTAGGTGATGTCGTTCAGCAAAGTCGAAGTCCACGTTATCGGCTTGTTGTCCTCGTTGTTTTCAGTCCTGCCTTCTCTGTCGATTGATGATGTTGGGAATGCTTCAAAGTTGGTAATGATATCGTCGATATCTAGATGTCTGAAACCAGCATTAGGTTGTCTTCGAGCAACTAGGGAATATGAATTGGGTGAACCTCTTTGCCAGTATTCTAACGAAACAACTCCCGACATCAGCTGGAGACGGTTGATTTCCGTTTATCTGCGATTGGAAGTCTGCGTTGATCCGGCCTTCAACAAGTGCTGCAAAGATGAGGCTGCAAGTACCCAAATCGACAAGGAAACTCAAATATTCAAATGCAAGCGCTACACAACGTCCGTTTGTCCTAAGAATACCGGTATCCACTCAGCCGCGAAAGATTTGACGAGCAAGCAAAGAAAAAAGTCTATTCGGATGTCATATCTGCTCGAGTAGATCGTGCCTGGGCAGCCGGAAGGGATCTCTGCTGGTCTTTATGGGATACTGTCCTTTTAGTCTCGTTGCTTTGCGGTCTGCAACCCTTGCCCTGCAGCCAAGCGTGGTTGTCATATAGTGATGATCCACCCAAGTCGTTGCTTTTCTGATCACTGGCCTCTGAGACAGGGTTAGCGTTGAGGAGGAGAAATGTGGCTTTCGGATCATGGAGTCAGTAAAGTTGGGTTGTCTGATGTCTCTCCTGCGAAGGCCCGGTCTGAAGTCTGCGACCTACGGTTGATCCCCATCTACATAGGTGTTCAGTTCGAACCAATGATCATCAGCAACCACTAGGCTCGCTGCACTCACTTTGGCAGATGCATCGATGCCCACCACCTCGACCCGCGCTCTGCCCGCAAGCCACTGGCCAGCTGACTTCTGGCAGTTCTGAGCACCAGGATCAAGGATTCAAATCAAATGTGCAGCAAGGCAGCCAAAGACAAATCGAGTTGCCAACCAAGACGTTGAGTACTAGGTAAAGGCTTCTGACTTCTGCAGTTTGGAAAATGAGTGGAAGATGGTTCGTCTACAATGGTCCGACCATCATTTTCTTTTTTTTGTTGAGAACCTTCCACTCGGAGACGAAACAGACCCTAGCCGTCTTTGGCATAGAATATATGCGACTTTGATCTCGCGATAGTCTGGAACTGGCGTCGTTTGGCGGACTGGTGTTGGAAGACATGATGAAGCAATCCGATGGCTAGATGGCCGCGGGTACCTGAGACCTATTTCGAAGCACATGGCTAAAATCCTGCAAGGTTAGCCGCTCCATTTGTGCTATTGCACCCTCAAGGGGTAACATGATGGGTGCCATGCCCTGATCTTCAGACAGAGTGTGCTGATGAGGAGCCAGCTAGAGTAGTTGTGTGTAGCTATCCTCGATACCGGTTTCAAATAACTACAATCCAGTCGAACCTCGAGTCATCTGGCCCAAACGACGCGGCCAAGGCAGGCGAAACGAAGAAAAGAGACACACGCGCTCCAATCGACCAGGTGGCCTGTGTTTGGCTGAGACCCAAAGGCTAAACATGCGTCTTCCCTGCTTGGACTGGTCGAGAAAAAGAAACAACGTGGGATGGCGGGATGGAGAGGCCGTGCCGCTTTTTTCCAGGCACACGATGGGACGAAACCCCCAACTCGGAAATTCTCGAGACACCCTCCTGGTTTCTTTTGCGGGTTGCTTCTGTGGCAACGCATCGATGCTTCGCGTGAAGTTACAAAAGAGTTTATGAGGCTGAAGACGCGTCGAACAACAAAATATGCCTCCACATTTCTTGCCGCCGTTCCAAGAGCCCCCTGTTTCTCCCATCAAGATCTTTTCGGGCTCGGCTTTTCCGAACATACTTTCACAGTACTGCCTGATATCGGTTCCTCTATCCGTACACTAGCGGACAGTGCGGGCTCGAGGAAAGACTAGCGACTGACCTCTCGCTTCCAGCGGTGTCTGGAACCGAGTAATTGGGCAGCCACTTTTCTGCGAAGAGACAGAAGAGATGACAGGTCGGCTCCTGTCATCTCGCCCAAAGTGGCGGTAAAGGAATCTCCGGGTTGTCAGGAGGAAGGGTTGCACGCTGGCTGGGGCAGAGATCGGATCTTGCAGCGGCAGCCAGGTGCCCAAGGCCAACGTCGGCTTGGGAAAATGCACCCTGCAGCATATCATTTTGGTTTTGGTGCATTACGCGAAATCCTTGCCTAGTGTCTCTGCAGACATATCACAGCAGTTGTCAAAGCTACGGGTAGAAGATAGATGAAAACCCCCCCCCCCCCCCCCCCCCCCCAAAAAAACCAGTCAACAACAAACAATACCTCAATCGCTCTTATTCGAAGCCCGGCAGAGACGAATGACGTATTAAAAAATAAAGATGCAAAAAAAACTGAGCCTGCCGAGCCTGATGATTTGGAGGCTGACGGGAGGACCGAGTGACTGAATAAACGTCCACCCTGTCTCGGTGGACTCGCCGTGATGCCCGATTCACCATGTCTCGAACATTTCCCCAAAGCTCCACCGCCAAGATAGGGCGTCCCCTTCCCGGACCTCTAGGATGCCTCAGAAGGCGGTCGGAGCATGGTTGCACGAGCGAGCTGGGCGACGAGATGCCCACAACACATGATGTGGACGGCGTATACGATCCGAAAAAACAATCCGGCTTGGAACCGGTGGACATTTCTTCGATCTGCGGAAGGCTCTTCTTACTTCTCCCCGATTTTCATTCCATCTCTTTTCCTCCCCTCTTGTCTGTTCCCTCCCGTCTGCCGCTTGTGGCCACCTCGGACCGAGAGAAGAGAAGGTGACAGAGGTGATAGATATGAATACTCGACAGCGTCGCGTTTGAGCCTGCTTCTATGATTGGATGGGTGGTAACGGGGGTTACCATTGCAACCTCAAGACGTCGTGGCGGGCAGCGAGAGGCTTGAAAGGCTGGCTGGGCTCTTCACGACGGGCGGCCGACTCGCTTATGTACTTACTTTGCCTTGCTCGCAAGACAGGAGAAGTGCGCATTTGCGGTGATGGGCCTTGTCGCTTGATTAGAAGCGGTCACCGAGTTCCCGCTTGATAAAGGACGTTTCTTGGCGAGCGAAGGAATGTTTGTGTTTGTGGGGAAGTATCCGCAGCTGCGTCCCGTCCCGCTCCTTGAGAACATCCTTTGCCCCCCGCCCCCCCCCTCCTTTTCTACTCTGCCTGGCCGCGGACGTCATGTCGTGACACCCTTTGCGCTGAATATCTATCGCGTTTGACATCTTCAGTTGATATATCATTAGTAAAGACCCGTCTTGCAAGACACTTATTAGTACCACGGCACATACCCAACCCAGACGGTGAGCTGGGAGGTTGCAAGGCAGGCGATTTGTCGCTCTCTCTCCCATCGGCATGATTATAACGGGTTAAAAGCAACGTCAGTCACCCGTTCCTTCTGCACCCTATCCTTGCCGCTCAACATCTTATGCACGCTATAGCCAGTCGGCCACGTTCCCTCATCAAGACCAGCATTAAGTTAAGCGAGAGAACCTTGCGGTCAAAGTCAGAAGCAAACAAATACCAA